TGGGCGTGGTGGTAGGCGTGGGGTAACAGTTGTGGTGGCGGTGGTGGCGGGGATGGGTGTGAGGTGAGGTAAGTAATGGTGGTAGGGTACAGGGCCAGATCATCTATCTCCCTGGACTGATGGTGGTGGTGGTGGTGGTGGTGGTAGGGGTAATGATGGTGGTAGTGCTGTTGGGTATGGGGATGATGGTGGTCGTAAGGGTGATGGTAATGGTATTGGTAGTGGTGATGGTGCTAGTAGTGATGGTGCTAGTAGTAGTAGTAGTAGTAGTAGTAGTGGTGGTGGGTGTTAGGTAAGGCAAGAGGTAGTGATAGGGTAGAGAACAGCACCATCCATCTCCTGTGGCTGCCTGGTAATGTTGCACCACCACCACCACCACCACTACCACATTTAGTGCACCTTTCTCTATCTTTGATATGAGTGAAGGAAGGGTCAACCTCTTCCACATATACAAGATGACCTGACCTTAATTATACTACGGTAATGACCCTCTAATGTGTTTTATATTGTATTTTGAAATGTAGGATATTGTCGGTCATTATGTGTATTATATAGCTTACTGTATTGTAATCACGTATATTGTATCTGTAAGGTGAAGTGTCCTGTAATTCATAAATAATGTTAATCACGTTACAGTTGAGTCACGTGGGTTGTTACAGTACTTGGTTGAGTCACGTGGGTTGTTACAGTACTTGGTTGAGTCACGTGGGTTGTTACAGTACTTGGTTGAGTCACGTGGGTTGTTACAGTACTTGGTTGAGTCACGTGGGTTGTTACAGTACTTGGTTGAGTCACGTGGGTTGTTACAGTACTTGGTTGAGTCACGTGGGTTGTTACAGTACTTGGTTGAGTCACGTGGGTTGTTACAGTACTTGGTTGAGTCACGTGGGTTGTTACAGTACTCGATCACGTCTTCTTGGCCATCTGAACCTTCAACTGGGCCGCGGTAATGATCTCACTTGTGTTTCTTGAGTTAGAACCTTATAGACGTCATCACCCTCGTGTCTCATCTCAAGTTTGTCCACAGTATGAAAGGTTAGGTTAGGTTAGGTTAGTACTATGGATGTTCTCGTAACTGATAATATAAGGAGGGTAGTGGTTGTGGGGAGGATAATGGTCGTGGGGTGGGTAGTGGTCGTGGTCATTGGGTGGAGTGGGTAGTGGTCGTAGGGTGGGTAGTGGTCGTGGGTAGTGGTCGTCGTGGGTGGTAGTGGTTGTGGGGAGGATAATGGCGTGGGGTGGGTAGTGGTCGGGGTGGGTAGTGGTCGTGCCGTGTGGTCGTGGGTAGTGGTGTAGGAGATAATGGTCGTGGGGAGGTAGTGGTTGGGGAGGATAATGGTCGTGGGGAGGGTAGTGGTTGTGGGGAGGATAATGGTCGTGGGGTGGTAGTGGTGTGGTGGGTAGGTCGTGGGTGGGTAGTGGTCGTGGGGTGGGTATTGTGGTATAGGGTGGATGGGTGGGTAGTGGTCGTGGGGTGGGTAGTGGTCGTGGGTGGGAGTGGTTTGGGTAGTGGTCGTGGGTGGGTAGTCGGGTGGGTAGTTCGTGGGTGGGTAGTGATCGGGGTGGGTAGTGTGGTCGTGGGTGGGTAGTGGTCGTGGGGAGGGTAGTGGGTAGAGAGGGAGGGGGGAAAGAGAGAACATTATCTCAACTCATTATAAGCAGAACCACAGCGAGGAACAAGTAGGTTGTCTGTTGAGGTGTATAGCCGCTGCTTAGTCTTGGGCGTCACTATCGGTGCATCAGTTGGTGTGATCAGAGATGATGGTCGCCGCGTTTGTCATGACTGCTTTAATTGACACCCTCGAGTCGGGGAGGTGTTAGTGTGCGAGAAATGTGTTAAGATGTGCAGCTGTAGAGTATTGTGTTGCGTCGGGGAGGTGTTAGTGTGCGAGAAATGTGTTAAGATGTGCAGCTGTAGAGTATTGTGTTGCGTCGGGGAGGTGTTAGTGTGCGAGAAATGTGTTAAGATGTGCAGCTGTAGAGTATTGTGTTGCGTCGGGGAGGTGTTAGTGTGCGAGAAATGTGTTAAGATGTGCAGCTGTAGAGTATTGTGTTGCGTCGGGGAGGTGTTAGTATGCGAGAAATGTGTTAAGATGTGCAGCTTTAGAGTATTGTGTTGCGTCGGGGAGGTGTTTGTGTGCGAGAAATGTGTTAAGATGTGCAGCTGTAGAGTATTGTGTTGACATTTGTTACAGTAAGTTATCTCCTTAAGGTTATTACAATGTCAAAAAAAAAATCTCTCCTAAACTTAGAAGAATTAGGAAGATAATTATAATATTGATAAGTATGATAAAATATATTGTATCCCGAGGTTAGTTGTTATGTCTTTTTTGGCCGGTTGCTGTGTCTCCCGCTAGGTGGCAGCACAGGAGGTAGAGGTCTATAATTTTCTCACATACAATAACAGACACTAATAGATTTCTGCAACTGGAAGTATTTTATTTACTTCTTACTTTTGTCTTCATCTGTCTTGGTCAACATTATCTTCCTCCATAGGCTGTACCTCGCGTCATGATAAAAAAAGGACAACCAAAATAAATTGGAACATCAATTTCTTATTCATCTTCAATTATATTTCCTTCTGTCTTAGTTAACAGTTTTAGACTCATGGGTTGACTGAACGGTTGGCTATCTGTTGTTCTCAAACGCAAAAACAAAAACAAAAAAATATATAAATGGGAGTTTTATTGCTTCCTTGTCTGTGGCAGTTTGTGGTGAGGCAAAGTTTATAAGTCGCTGTTGGTCCACGTAAAAAAGTTATTGGTGGAATGTATCACAATAAGGTCGCGGTAAGTGACACTAAAACCCACAAAAGGAAGACCTGAAACTATTAGAACACTCCCAACTGTTTTTTATCTTCACAGTTCACCGTCTGTGGTTTTATCATCGGTAAAACTATATATTTGGGCCTCGACCCTTGGAAAATAGGGTGGGAAGGGGTATATATATATATATATATATATATATATATATATATATATATATATATATATATATATATATATATATATATATATATATATATATATATATATATATATATATTGTTACAGTGTGACCCACCAAGGCTGGCTAGATAGACATGTAGGACACAGGGCCACGTTGTCCCATGTCCTAGTTCACAGTGCCCATCCGATGGTTGGTACGTGTCCCAGTCTTTTGTCTTTCAGGGCGTTTGTTCTTGTTTTTTTTGCGGTGGTGGTGGTGGCCATGGGGAGGGGGCGTGTGGGGGATCACGTGGGCGTTGGAGGGTGCAGCAGGGAGTGGGTGGTGGCGGGGAATGGGTGTTGATGTGAGAAAGTGGGTATTGAGAAGGAGTTGGTGGGGAGGGTGTGTGGAGGAAGTGGAGTTGGGGAGGGGAAGAGAGGGAGGTTGGGGAGGAAGGGAGGTGGGGAGGGAAGAGAGGAGTGGGGAGAAGAAGGAGGGCGTTACAGTAATGGTCATGTTTATTTCACACTATCACCGACAATGGTCAGCTCTCACCCACTATCTGGACCACCACCAACTTGTTCCTCTCACCATTCTGCAGCCAGGGAAGGGGGGGTGAGGGGGGTATGATCAACATGGGGAAGTGGGGTGATGGGAGGGGTGAGGTGGGGGATGGGAGAGTGGGATGATGGGAGGGATGAGTTGGGGTGATGGGAGAGGTGGGATGATGGGAGAGGTGAGGGTGATGGGAGGGGTGAGGTGGGGTGATGGGAGGGGTGGGATGATGGAGAGGGGTGTTGTGTTTGGGATGCACCATAGGTATGTAGGATGACGGGAGGAAGAGTGTGAAACGGGCAAGAAAAAGTACCAGAGAGAGAAAGAAGGAAGATGTTAGTGACAGAAGGAGGAAGGAATGGTGACAGGTGAGGAAGGTGACAGGTAGGCCATCATCTGTCACCCTAGACGTGGGGGGGGGGCAGGTGAGGTGACGTGATCAGGGTGTCGCCACCTTCCTTAAGACAGTAGTAGCTATGTCTTAACACATGGACATGGTTGATGGCTTCCTTTGAGTCCTGCCTCCTAACATGGCTGTCTCAAACAACTCATGACTTAGACATAGTGTCCTGCTAGCCGTGAGGACACCCATGGTTTAGAAACAACTCAGAGATAAACAACCACATCTTAAACATAAACACAAGATCGCATGAAGGAACAAATGTCTTACCCTTGGTGTTTCGGAGCTCATGACTGAAGAGAATAATTTAAGACATAACTAAGACAAGGCGTCGTGGCTGTGAGGCGGCTCTGGAGGCTAAAAACTCGACGGTCGGGTAGTTTGTGATGCATGAGAGATCGGGACGTTAAATATCCTCCCTGGCTGGTTCATGGGGCAAAATTTGTGGCCTTGTGTTCATGGACAAAATTTGTGGCCCTACAGGTACGGCCACAATTGTATCCCTCCCTTCGTGGCCACGTGTGAGGTGCGGGTAGTGTAATCACGGTATATGTATGGAAATGTACCCTTGTCCATATCTGTATACATATCCTCGTGGCTGTCCCTTCATGGCCATATCTTAGGACACGCGGCCTGTCCTGGGGTCGTGCATCTCCCGCCATACCTACAGTGACAGTATAGAGGGGGGAAGGTTCCTTGTTAGGGTGAGGGCCTTGCAAGGAGGTGGGGGGAGGTGGAGGCCTTGTAAGGAGGGGGAAGGAGAACCTTGCAAGATGGGATGAAGGGGTGATGTAAAGGAGGGACGAGAGGAGGGATGAAGAGAGGGAGGGAGGGTAAAGTACCTTGCTAGATTGAGGGGGGTAGAGGAGAAGGGAGGAGGAAAGGGGTAAAGGTAGGAAGGAAGGAACGATAGAAGGAGATGCCTCTCACACACACACACACACACACACACACACACACAAGCACAAGCACCACTGCAGGCGGGAGACGGGCGAACGATAGACTGTCGTAGTTACCAACTGAGTGTTCTTTCTGGTGGTTGCGAGAGAGAGATAACGAATAAACGAGTGAGAAAACATTCAGTGGTCGAATTTTCCTAACCCACGGCGTACCCATAATGACCCACAGCACCCAGAGAGCCCACAGAGCCCCTACAATGCGCTATAAATCCCCAACAGAACACCACAGACTCTACAGTGCAGCCATAGAGCCCACACAGTGTCAAAATAGTCCCACAGTGTCCTATAAGGCCCCCACAGTACCCCACACGTCCCACACACCATCGGGGCCACACTATCAGCTTCAGCGGGTCCTCAGCATTCTAATGACGTAAAAGACGAACATAAAAATTCCCATCTTGGCTAGTGTGTGTGTGTGTGTGTGTGTGTGTGTGTGTGTGTGTGTGTGTTTTGCAATGACACATATACACCACAGAAAATTATCTCATACACACACATACACGTAAACAAACATGATAACACACACACACACACACACACACACACACACACACACACACACACACACACACGTAGGCAGTGACCTACTTCCCCCACTTGGAAGTTTATGACTGTTGATAAAGTTTGTCAACAGTGGCGAACCTCTCATCCCCACTACCCCCTCCCCATCTTGGATCCCCAATCATTCCCCCAGACCCTCTACCCCCACTCTCTGCCTCCAACTCCCCGTTCTTATGTTCTTTATCTTTTCATGATCCATCTTAGTACTAAAATCTTTCTGTTGATATATTTATGGCTCCCTAGGTCCCAGAATACCAAGGTCCCAAGGTCCCGAGGTCCCAGGATTCTAAGGTGCCAGAGTCCCAAGGTCTCAGGGTCCAAGGATCCCAAGGTCCCAGAATCTCAAGGTCCCAAGGTTTTAGAGCCCAAGGTCTCACAGTCTCAGGGTTTCATGGTCCCAGAGTTCCAGGATCCCAAGGTTCCAGGGTTACAGGGTCCTAAGGTTCCAAGGTCCCAGGGTCCAGGGTCTCAGGATGCCAGGACCACCACCACGACTTATCTACATATTTTGTTGTGCTTTACATAAGTAAACCTGGTTATGACAGGCACATAAAGACACGAGATGGCGGGGGAGTGAATGTGTTGGGACGTGGATGTGGATGGGTACAGAGAAAGATTGAGAGTTGGTTACAGTGAAAGTGGATAAATGCGGATACAGCGATGGGGTGCACAGACGCAAACAAAAATGGATGGAGTAACAGCATCAAAAGAAGTAGATACAATGGCAATAACATTGAAATAAAGGAGAGAGAGAGGGAGAGACTGAGAGAGATAGAAGGAGTGTAGAGTGACAGATATCCCTCCTGTTGGGTGTCTCCAAGGAACTCCCAAGTCACACCGAGAGAACCGCTTTCCAATTCTATGAAAGGGCCGAATTCCGTACCGCCCTGATGTTGTCGTGTTGGAGGGGTCGATGGTGGTTGTTGCCCTTGATGTTGTCGTGTTGGAGGGGTCGATGGTGGTTGTTGCCCTTGATGTTGTCGTGTTGGAGGGGTCGATGGTGGTTGTTGCCCTGATATTGTCGTATTGGAGGGGTCGATGGTGGTTGTTGCCCTTGATGTTATCGTATTGGAGGGGTCGATGGTGGTTGTCGCTCTGATGTTGTCATGTTGGAGTCGTCGATGTTGGTGGTCATGGGGTTCGTTCTTAGTTCCTTAAACCTGAATCACACGTCACGCCTCTGCTTTACCTCCACCCCCCCGCCCCCCCACCCCCCATTCCTCACGTCACTTCCAAACCCCTCCCTCATCCCTCCTTTAACCCTTTTATGGTTAAGAAGAGAGAGAGACCCCTGGTGGTGCCTCAGGGGCGGCGTAAGACCTGTTGCACGGCAGGTCCGGCGCGTCATGTCAGCCGGTAGATTCCTGCCGTCAAGTCACGCGTCGCTTAGCTGATTGTGCAGCCAATGTGGATTCCTCCATCAGCTCATGTGTCAGTCACCATTACTGCGGCCTGCACATGACACGGCCTGCAGCCCTTTACTCTCCTACATCCACTGAGTTTCCCAAATATGTGAGTTAAGGTTTAATCTTTGACGCTTACCTCTCGAAGTTGTCGCAAAACCATTAGATGATTCCTCCAATCTCCACAACTGCGGCCTCCAGCCCGCTGCACTCGTCTCTATCTTGAGTTTTCCAAATATCGGAGGTACAGTTGCCCACAAATATAGTGTGCCCTTTCCGATCATATTGCCAACGATATATATATAATTATTTTTTCTCGGTAATATATGTACTCGAGATTTGTGCTAAGCTATATGATGAATGTAATCTCTGCAAAGAAGGTTCGGCTGTGATTCTGACGTCGCCACATTTTCGGTAAGGCCACCGAGGGGTGGAATGCTATACCTGTGGGCCACTGTACCACGACAACGGTCCGGTCTTCCATACTTACCAGGCATGAGTTTAATGCTATCTAAAGCCTTGCAACATGCTTTGAATCTCTTTTACACGCCATTTAAGTATTTGCTGACTTCCCTATAGTTCTCTAAGTAGCAGGAGGTTGTTGTATTATTCAGAGGTGTATTGTTCTCCATTCGAGGCATAAGCAGATACACTTGGAAGTTTTATCGAGCGCGTCAATATTTTACCAAATTTTATCACGAATCCCTTTTAAGCACAGTCGCTTACATTTGTTCAGAATAGCACTATATTCTTTAAAACAGTTAAGTGAGAGAGAGAGGGCGAGAGAGAGAGAGAGAGAGAGAGAGAGAGAGAGAGAGAGAGAGATGTGGTCTACGTCGGTTTGATCTTGTGTGAGAACCTCACTGGTTGCAGCACCAGGGGCATGTTACATACTCTCAGCTCCCTCTGTTTAGTACCTGTAATATCAATTTGAAAAAATGTAGTAATAAACTCTTTTCAAGCTGTTAAGTTCCGATGTGGTTGTTTGGAGTAGACCCAGGGAGCCGTGGAAGGGAATCTTGATTTGTTTGGCGATTGATTGATAAAGATTGTAAATATTTAAATGCTGTAGGACCAAAGTTTCGGCCTGTGGTACTCCTGTTTATCTTTATAAGACTAGGTTTATTAGTGTCGTTTCATTTAGGCTTAACACACACACACACACACATTCGCACACACACTGATTTATACGGGCGCGCGTACACAAACACACACACACACGGTTGGCAAGAGTGTAGAGGTGCATCCTTCTAGACAGTGGGGTGGCCAGCGGAGGGGTTTGTGAACCATTAATCAGCGACACCTCACGCTGATCACCACCCTCCTGCCACTGCTTCATGACCCACTTCTGAATCATTAATCACACGCCTCACGCTGATCTCATGCGTGCCCAGGATGCCTCACCTGCCCTCGACTCCTTCATCTCACTGTTTCACGAGGTTGATTTACTGCCTTATTACTTCACTAATTCACCATCTCTACCTCTCATTAGCTCAACTCTTCACCAGATTCGAGAGTGAATATACCCAGGACTCCGTCATCTCACTGCTTCACTAAGGCAATATGTTTCCTTTTCATTAACTTACTTTTTTTTTGCTTCGGACAGTTTCACTTTCACTGCTTCACCTACACATTATAACAATGATTCACTTATACACTACCACATTGGTTCACAGACTAGCTCAATGCTTTACTTAGTTAGCTTAGTCTTAGTATTTTACCTATACACTCACCATTTTACCAGAGCGAAAGTGTGCGCGTGCGCACTTACACACACGCACACACACAAGTTAAAAACGGCTCATCTCGTTGATTCATGTGTGGTGTTAAGTGACCAACGCTGTGTATCACTACTGCTCACAGTTTGATCCACTGTAGTACCTGTTTTTTATTTTCGTAAATAATGGATCGTGAAGACGTTAGCTTCCTAGCTGGAGATCTGTTCATTGGACATACAAGAGAGTTGATAAATAGTAATTTTGTTTTCCCCTGAAGGTACGACTTGATGGAGATATACGAGTATATTGCAATCGATAGAAAATTATATGGATAGACAGATGAATGAATATATAAGTATACTGTATTTCAGGAAAAAATACCAAAGAACATTACAATAAGGCTGGTGATTATGTTGCCCAAATCCTGTGTGTTAGTGAAGACATTAAGCAGTGAGACCGAGTAAGACAGTGACACTCTGGAGGTCAGCTGTGGAGTGGACACAGCTAGTGAGGAGTGACCGGGCGTGGTGAAGCAGGCAGGAAGGTTGAGGCAGAGGCACCATGCAGCGTTGACCATACCCTGTAGTGCTTCAACACAGTGCCAAAGAAGAGGTTGTTGTGGGAGCCATGGTTCTGCTTCGTGGTGGAGGTGGTAGTGCCAACAAGGGGGCAACCCGCGGCCGGAGACGCCCTCTGGTCACCTGGCTCACCCTGCGCAGTGTGTGGCGCACCCGCAAGATGGCGCGCAAGTCTCCACAGTGCGCCTTACTTGTACGTCGTGGATGCTGGGGGGCGTGAGGTGTCCTGCCAGTGTACTGTTTGTATCTCTTGTTCTAACATAACCTTTATCTTGTAGTTTATGTGTAGGTGAACCGTATGTATGTATGTATGTATGTATGTATGTATGTACTGTATGTATGTTGTTTGTATGTATGTATGTATGTATGTATGTATGTATGTATGTATGTATGTATGTATGTATGTACAGTATGTGTGTATGTATTACTAATTGTAGAATATACAATGTATTAGATGTATTAACCAATATATACCAGACCATTGACTATAATACACTAGTATATTTATGTTGTGAGCGTTGACGAAGGACTAACTTGATCCTCCTCCTCCGGCAGGCGTACTACCGGCAGGGCGTGGCTCTACAGTGTCTGGGGCGCCATGCCGACGCCTTGGCCGCCTTCAGCAGTGGTCTCGCCCAGGATCCCAAGTCCCTTCAACTACTGGCCGGACTCGTCGAGGCCGCCATGAAGAGTCCGCTCAAAGGTGAGTCCCTCGTCCTGTGTGTAGTGTAAGAGTCCTTCCTCCTGTGTGTAGGATCTGCTCATATGTAAGTTCTCTACCTGTGAATTTGTTGAGGTCCTTCGTGTGTACAATACAGTAGATCTAAGGATGCCAGGCTGTGTCCACCTCCAGGTTACGATTAAAACACAGGTGATGAGATAGTGGCGTAAAGACAGACATTGGGAGTGTTGTTATGTACAGTACACAATTAAGTAGCTTCTGCGTTTCCTTGTTTGTTTACATTGTGGAGGAAACTGTTTTATTTTTTGCTTGTGTAGTGTGGGCGTGACTGTGAACTTGGAGATGTAGGTGTGTCGCTAGGTACAGTAGGTGGTCATACGCTTGTTCGGGCGCGGTGGGCGTGGAGATTGACGTGTAGAGGGTGTGTTACATGACCGTTTCTCTAGGTGTGTGTCAGATGTAGAGAGGCGGAAAGGTAAAGGAGGTAGGGTAAAAGGGAGGGAGGGGGGTAAGGGGGTAAGAGAAGGGGGAGGAGGGGGTAAGAGGGGGGTAAGGTTGTAAGGGGGGTAGGGTAAGAGGGGGGGTAAGAGGGGGAACGGGTGACACGTTTACCTCTCCTCCTCAACTCCTCCAGCCATGTCCATCCCTCCCTCTACTCCTTCCCTCCATCTACTCCCTCCACTCCCTTCTCTACCTCACTCCCTTCCCCCAAAGACTCCTTACCGATCTTCCCTCTCTTTTTCTCTACGTCAACCCCCTTCCTTTCCTCTTGTTTCCTTGTTTCCTCTTTCCTCCATTCATGTCATCCCTTTTTTTTTTTTACTTCCTCCTTTTCTTGTTCTTTCATTTTCTCTCTCTATCTCTCTCATACCCATTATTCTCTCCTCTTTAACCCCTTCTCTTTCATCATTCCCTTTCACCTCCCTTCTCCTCCCCCCCTCTCTTTCTTCTTTACACCTCTCCTTCAACACCACTTTATCTCTAATTGTCTTTACCATCCCTTCAACCCTCCCTTTCTTTAACCTATCGATTATCCTCCTCCTCTTCCTCCTTCTTATACCTCCTCCTTGTCTTCTCCTATTCTGCTACGTGTTGAAGATAGAAGAGAGAGAGAGAGAGAGAGAGAGAGAGAGAGAGAGAGAGAGAGAGAGAGAGTTGTATAGTGTCGTTTATGGCTTGACTGGGGAGACATGGTTCAGGTCTACTGTAAGTGTCACCACGCACAAGATGTTATCGCTCGATCCTACCTGGTCACCACACACACACACACACACACACACACACGAGGATAAATCTACTACCAGGATTATACTGCTCTCCTGCCCACAATATATTCACTAATACTCTCAGTAAAGCCTCCTCCCTCCACTCCACCCACCTCACCCACCCACCCACCCACCCAATGAAAAAAAAAGAAGTCGAAATTGCTTGTTTTGGATGCATGGATTTACCGGGTACTTTAGGTTTTAGGATGTTAGGAGGAGGAGGAGGGAGGAGGAGGAGGAGGAGGAGGAGGAGGAGGAGATGGAGATGGTAGTGCTGGTTCATTTTATAAGTGGTTATATGTGGAGGTATATGATGACTCTGGAGGTATATGATGACTGACTGTGTGGAGGTATATGATGACTGTGTGGAGGTATATGATGACTCACTGTGTGTGGAGGAATATGATGACTGTGTGGAGTATATGATGACTGTGTGGTATATGATGACTGTGGGGGTATATGATGACTGACTGACTGTGTGGAGGTATATGTAAGGTATATGATGACTGTGTGGAGGTATATATGACTGTGGAGGTATATGATGACTGTGTGGAGGTATATGATAACTGTGTATATGATGAGTATGATGACTGACTGTGTGGAGGTATATGATGACTGTGTGGAGGGATGACTGACTGTGTGGAGGTATATGATGACTGTGTGGAGGTATATGATGACTGTATGGAGGTATATGATGACTGTGTGGAGGTATATGATGACTGTGTGGAGGTATATGATGACTGTGTGGAGGTATATGATGATAACTGTGTGGAGGTATATGATGACTGTGTGGAGGTATATGATGACTGTGTGAAAGCTTATGAATATATTATATGTCAGAAAAAAAAGGTGGAACCATAACCAAAAAAGACCTTAGAAATAATACTGAGTTTAGAAAGTTTTAAAGACGAGACTCTGTGGAAAGGACTCGGCCAACGCCCCGTGGTGGTGATAAAGGTGGTGGGGTGAGACTTATTGGTGAAGGAGGAGGTCATGTGTTGAGAGAGAGAGAGAGAGAGAGAGAGAGAGAGAGTATATAGATTAAGGTATAAAGAGAAAGATGGATAAGACTGCAGTACTAAAAATAAAGCTTCAACGGGTTTAACTTATTGACATCTATAAAGTACTTGATTTCCTTCCTGGTTATATCAGAAAGATGAGTGGGAGTAATATTTTACCTCTTGATTAAGAAACACTTGGATTAACAAACACTTGGATTAACAAACACCTGGATTAACAAACACCTGGATTAACAAACACCTGGATTAACAAACACCTGGACTAACAAACACCCGGATTAACAAACACCTAGATTAACAAACACCCGGATTAACAAACACCTAGATTAACAAACACCTGGATTAACAAACACCTGGATTAACAAACACCTGGATTAACAAACTCTTGAATTAACAAACACCCGGATTAACAAACACCCGGATTAACAAACACCCGGATTAACAAACACCTGGATTAACAAACACCTGGATTAACAAACACCTAACTTGAATCCATGTCGAGAAAGCTGATAATAGTAAGCCTTGAACCCTGGGAGTCACTTTTATCAGACTAACTCACACTCGGACTTAAGCCCAGGGTAAGAAAATTAGGCCTCGGGATCTGGAAATCACTCTATGAGACATGGAGGTCAACAGCTGACTCAGGTTAATTAGTTTACCTTTGTACCCTTCGAGGTCTTATCCAGGCGAGGTAGCGCGTGGAGGGCTCGGCAACGAGTTATGGCTCACCTGGACAATGGGTAAATAATGTAACAGGTGGGGTCAGCAGGCCAGGCTCTGATACTCTGCTGGATCTTGGCTCTGCTGACTGCTGGCCTACATGTGTGATGTTCTGCTGATTGTTGTCCTCTGCTGTGTGATGTTCTGCTGATTGCTCACCCTCACCTCCACGCGGTGTCTCCCTCACCCTCACCTCCATACAGCATACAGTGTCTCTCTCACCCTTCTCCTGTGTGTGTGTGTGTGTGTGTGTGTGCGTGTGTGTGGGCGGGGGACCACACAAGGCAGCACAGTGGTAGTCTCTGGTGGGTTCAGTAAACAACCATAAAGTCAGCGGGATCATTCAGGACAGAATTAGCCTGCAATCGTAAACGTCCGTCACAGCGGCCGAGGCGTCACGGTCTCCCCCCCTTCCCCCGCCAACTAGCCACGACTAGGCCCTCTCCCCCCTCACCAACTAGCCACGGCTAGCTCCTCTCTTATCCTCGCCTTGGGACTTACCCAGGACTAGCCTCCCCTTTCCCCGCTGTATTGGGAAGTAGCCAGGCTTAGCTAATCTCTTCTGCCGCTCTGGGAACTAGCCAAGGCAAACCCTACTGCCCTGGGAACTAACCAAGACAAATCCTACCACCCTAAGAACTAGCCAAGACAAGCCCTGCCACCCTGAAAACTAGCCACGACTAGCTTACCTCTCCACCCGCTGCCTTGATAACTAGCCAAAACTAGTCAGTCACACCTCACCTTCAGTCCCTACAATAAGAAAAAATATAGTGGTCTGTGAACCTTAAGAACTGCTAATGACAGTCTACAGGGTTAAGTCAGTCGAGTCTAACACGTTTACACTAGACTCCTGAAGGCCAACATGGGCCAGTAGTCCGCGGGATTAAGCTGCTCAAGACTAGTAAAATCACTGTCAACTGTCGTATAGGGTAAAGCTTGCCAGGGCTACCCATGACCTGCGAGAGGATTACGTAGATTTAAGCTGCTCAGGGGAAGCTAGAACTAGTTAGGGGAATTCCGTGATTTGTTTAGATTGATCAGAACCTGTCAGGGCACACTAGAACTGGTTGAGAACCTCCTGAGTCTCTGCTATTAATAAGCAGAAATAAGAACTAGGTGAGAGTTTGCTAGTCCTGTAAAGCTACCGAGGGATATGATGTCCAATTACTCCCAGTGTTACCACCATCTATTCGGGGCTGTGGTAGGACTAGTTAGAGCTGGATTAAGACACAGTAAACTCACCAGAACCAACAGTCTCCCACCATGAACAAGACAGACACCATTGGAACTGGATTGCGATTTGCTTCGCCCATCAGGACGCACCAAGACACCACCAAGAACCTTCAGAGCCCGTCACTTACCAGCTCCTTTACCACAGTAAATAGGGGTCACAGTACTTGCTTGGTCCATTAGGGAGAGTCATTGGAAGCAGAGGGCGGGCGAACATTCTTATAGCGAAGATTCATTTAGCATATCTGTGTGAGGTGTACAGGAACGCCAGGCGCTATTGATTGCTAGGCAACATTCTTATGGTAAAGGCTTGTGAAGAAGCGAAAAGGGGTGATGTCAGGCATGGTGGGGGGAGGGATGGCAGCACTAGTGCCCCAGGACACTTCCGCGACATGATATTGTCCAGTTAGTTATTATACCAGATAATATAATTTTCTTCAGTGGAATTTTGTGTTATGTCGACAGCTCAACACCATTGTGCCAGGACCATATTTTTCAACAAGTAAAGCAAAGATTTGGTGTTGTTGCAGAGACTAGAAGTGCATTTAGTGTTTCGTCAACAAGGTTTCATAAATTGGTCCAAATGAATCAAAATTTTACTTCCTTTTTTTCTGTAACTTGCGTGTGTTGAAGCCTTTACTGCAGGTCCTATAACAGTCCATATGTGCTTTAAAAGTTCAACAGGTGTTCGAAAATTCTGTCAAAACTTTAGAGAATCTTTCATATATATCGAGAGTTCTGAAAGTTATTATACAGGAAGTGTTTCCTCGTGAGTGTTGCTGCTACT